ATCAGTTCTTCATAATCTTAAACGAAATAGGGTGAACACAGTTTATATGGTCTATTCTTGTCGAGGTTCTGATTACGGTCACATTTTATGCCTGATTTTGTTCACTCTTTCTCTCTCACACACAGACAAAAAGGTACGTCAGCGGATCCAGACGAAAATTCGACATTACGCAACAGAAGTGATAATTAAAATATATAAAGATGGTGGTTATGGTCATCACTGAGGATTAAGGATAGATGTTATGTGCTTTTTAAATGATCTTGCTCTAGCACTGCTGGTTTAGTTCATATAAAGGCACACAGGCGCAATCAAATATACACACTCACGGAATTATAGATCGACAAAGGAGTTTGGCTAACCAAACCATTTGAAGACTCCTTAAAGGGCATTGGTTTGGGGTATTAACAGCATTTAGAGATAAGCCGCTTAGTTTTCTTGACTCGAAGGCTCGTATGTGTTTGTAAGAATTGCACCCTGCTCTGGCGATGTCAGTCATGTGACAGACGAAAGATTAGCACGTTTTCACCCGAATCAAAGGATATTGTCTTAGGCTACATATTCACTAAGAATGTTCCAGCAATATGAGATATATTCACCCTATTTCGATTAAGGTGATGAAGGACTGGTAGTAGAATTTTCCCATAATGATATGAGTAGAGCTGACGTTTCCATTAAATTTCATATTGCCTTGCTTTCCCAAAGGTTGTTCTCATTCAGAAACCAATAGACTGCAGTTTCGACCTCGCATTTGTTCTATCAACACTTCCAGCGTGAGTCGAACTGTGACAATGCAGAATGTTAGCTTGACACGTTGACCACTCGACCACATTGCCAGGAGTGTTATTGGGTCACAGGGAAAATTCGAATTTAAGTAAGGCAAGGCCTCTTGCAATATCATGTTCTTTTGTAGAATTGTCGATGAAGTAAACGGTTATTTGCTATAACAATAGACTACGTTATTTATTTTTCGTATTTGAGTATTGTTTCAAGACTACCAGTAAATCAGTATTATGAGATGTATTCACCCAATTTCGCTTAAGGTGATGAAGGACTGGTAGTAGAATTTTCCCACATTACTATGAGTAGAGCTGAAGTTTCCATTGAATTTCACATTGCTTTGCTTTCCCAAAAGTTATTCTCATCTAGGCAATGTAAAATTCATTGGAAACTTCAGCTCTACTCATATCATTGTGGGCAAATTCTACTACTAGTCCTTCACCACTTTAAACGAAATAGGGTGAATACATGTCATATTACTGATTTACTGGTAGTCTCGAAACTCTCTTCCAGCAAAGCCAACTGACAGCTGATTAAGAAGAATCTGGTGGGATCGACTTTAGAATGTCTTCGTCACGTATATTCACTGCTTGTCGCACCATATACCTACATATGAATACACATCAGCACATACAAACGGGCATACACATATGCTTCTAGAATGTTATGTGACTTGAACAGACCAAATGACTTTGTTCCTTAACAAACTGTTGATTTAGGCATAAATCGGTATTTGCTTGGCACTTAAGCCTCAATAGGGATGTAAGAATTTCATACTGCTCTGATAATGCCCATTTATATGATGGACGAGGGTGTAACATGCTGCCACCGGAATTGAAGACGATTTCTGGGAGCATGTTCAGCAAGAATGTCTCAGTTAGGCTAAATGACAGCTGGACAAGATAAATCGGCCATTGCCTTCTGACGAGCTCCACCTTCGAATCTCTTCCTCAGATACTTTTACTCGAAATTGAAGTGTGTTCAACATTGTGGTAAATAAGCACAGCACTTCCCGGATTCGATTCCAATTGTAGGCGCTAGTGCGATCTGGCCAAGGTTGAAGCTGTAGGAGCAAGACGAAATGAAATTAACAGGAAAAGTGGGGCCTTATCATATGATTAAAGCTAAAATTCAAGCATCAATCCTTCATGACATTATGCAACCTTGAATAAGTACAATTCTTGTTTCTGATCTATTTGTAGTATCGAAACTTAATCATTCTAAATCGAAAGTTCTTATTTAAGAACCGAATGTATCCTAAGTTCTACTTGATACTTTCCTACGGCCTGCATTGCCCTAGCAACGTGAGCTGTCACGAGGTCGAGTGTCGCTCCCGTCTGCGCCACTGCCCAGGCCTCTTGCGTTCACTCTTTCACATCCTCCGAGTCTGTCTACTTTGTCCTTCTGGCTCATCGCCTCAATTGAAGACTGTTTCATCCGAACTGGAAGACGCTCCTCAAGACAATGTCGACAACGCCGATTCAGCCTCATTTCAGGCACCTCCTTCAGTATTGCTGTCGACACAGTTAATTGGCGCGTCGTCTGCTGTCGGCTCGACCAACAGTCAATCGGAGCCTTTGGTGAAAAGGACGAGCAGATCTCTGGCGGACTCTCATGGCCTTGAACATGTGCTCTGCACCCTTCGCAACCTGAGCTTTGCGTTGCAGGAGATCTGTGATCCCATCTACCTTTCCCGTAGAGAACAACAGTTTCAGGCTGTCACAATGTCTTCGAGAGCTGCTCGCCAAGCGTTGAGCCATGACCGTCCACCCAACCACTCACAGGATCCGGGTGCTATCAACTGTGGTGAGACTTCTGAACTCCCGATACATTCTCACATGTGATAGAGTATTTGGTTACTCACAAATGCGCCTGAGAGATCATATTTTACTGCACTTTTAACTGATAAGCACTCTTGAACTATTTCTTGTAGACGGATTACCGTTTGGCTTACATGCTGCATATAAGGTCTTTTTCACTTTTCTATTTAGCATGCAAATGTGCCATCAACACCTCAACCAACTGTGCATGCGTCAGAATTTGTTACAGTGAACTGAATCACAACGCGTCACCTGGATACTCACAAGTGGCGAATGGTGCTTTATTTCAAACTGATCATTAGATAACGATCACTACACGATTTAATTGTTTAGAAGGGTGTAAGGTCAGAGGGCCCTTTGACCCACTCTAGCCTGAGATGAGTGAACAAGTAAGAGGAGTAGATATATTGAGAGGCTTTATTTGTGCATAAAAGATGGTACAGAAGACACCATTGACTCAGAAAACTGTCTTTAGGAATCATTTGATCAATACCAGAGAGGTATTGATTCTCAAGAAAAATTCGTCTATTTACTGCACCAATTATCATGAACTTCTTTCTATCCACACCATAAAAGGACTAAGTGAAGTTGACAAAAAA